ATATATTTGTGGATATGTCTGGAATTATGTGTGGTTACATACTGACTGTTGTTACATGTTTGAAAGAATAAATAAATCAAATCAAATCAAACAGTACTCCCCTTCGTGTGAAAGGTTTGATTTCGTGTTTGCAGATTCCAGCAAAGTCCTAGGCTTCGCTGTACTGGTAGAGGATCTACTCCTAGGTCTAAATCTTTCAAGTCTTTTGCTCGATCCTCGACAGGAAAGGCTTCCATTACCTGACTGCAATTTGATGCCACTTTGTGAAGTAGCAAGTTAGACTCTGCCAGCATGTTTTGGGTTCTTACAAGTAGGTCAATTGCCTCTTCTGGCGTGGCGACTGATGTGAGCCCGTCATCCACGTAGAATTGACGTTCAACAAAGTGTCTTGCATCTGAGCCGTGTTCTCGTTCTCCTTCTTGGGCCGCTCGTCTCATGCAGTAGATGGCTACAGCAGGTGATGGGCTGTTTCCAAAAACATGAACTTTTATTCTAAACTCAGTCACCTTCTTTGTGGTATTGCTGTCCTCAAACCACAGATAACGAAGATAATCTCTATGTTCTTCACATACCACAAAGCAATAAAATATTTGCTGTACGTCAGCTGAGAGAGCTATGGGCTCTTTTCGAAAACAGATAAGTACTCTTAATAGTGAGTTGTTCAAGTCCAGCCCGCTAATGAGCACTTAATTAAGGGATGTTCCATCACTCTCTGCACTAGAGTCAAAAACGACCCGTATCTGATCTGGTTTCTGTGGGTGGTACACACCGAAAGTGGGGAGATACCAGTGTTCCTTACCTTCAGGAAGAGGTGGTGCAGGCTTAGCTTGATCATTGTCCATCATTTTCTGCATGAACTGAATGTAGTGATCTTTCATCTTCGGTTTCTTTTCTAGAGTCTTTTGTAGTGAGTGGAGGCATTTTAAGGCTCACTCTCTGTTGCTTGGAAGCCTTCTTCGTGGGCAGCAAAAGGGTAGGGGAGCAACCCTGCTGTTCTCTTTGTTTTGGTAAACGTCATTGTCCATTAGGGCTAAGAATGTCTTATCCTCCATGGACAGTGCAAACTTATCATTCTCGGTTCTATCAAACACAAAGTGTTCTAGGGTGTCTGTGGGCTGAGCAGTGTCTGTTGTGTGCATACAGCCTGGCCTTGTTGAGCTGTGCCATTGCGAGGTGCACTCACTATTCTCCTTTACATGAATAACGTTCGGACAAGGCTCAAAATAAGATGCACGACCATCCTCCAAGGTGTGTGTCTTGTGCACATTGACTTCCTTTGGGCGTAAGGAGTGTTGCTGGGTCCGTTGATTTGTTCACGTACCTTATGCACTCTGAGAATGTCCCTTCCTAGGAGCAAAAGGATTGGAGCTTGGTGATCGACAGGTTGGATCTTGTCTGCCACTGGGAAGAGGTGTGGATGATGTAAGGCGATCTCAGGAGAAGGTATCTCCATTCTATCATCTGGCACAGAATCGCACTCTATCAAAGGTGGTAGTTGGACGTTTACTTTTCCATCTATGGACTCGATAAAGAAGTTGACCGCTCTCCTTCCTGAGGTTTGTACTCTTCCAGAGCAAGTCTTCAAGGTGTAAGGTTCAGCTCGGCTATTGATGTCAAACAGGTCAAAGAACTCTGACTTAGCTAATGACCTATTGCTCTGTTCATCGATCACAGCATACATTTTAACCGCCTCTTCTTTCTTTCCGGCAGGATAAACATTCACTAAGGAGATCTTAGAACAGGAGCGCGGGCTGTTACTTTCACCACATACCTCCGTACACGTCGAGGTCACTGAAGGTGTATTCTCACTTCTCTCTCCGCTGTCCTTGTATTGACTTTCTGGTTTGATGTTCTTTGGGGCAGGAACGGGGTCTGGATGCAGTGCTGCTATATGTTTGGTACTGTCACACTCGGTGCACTTGATCACTGCTTTGCACTCTTTTGCAACGTGTTGGACTGATCCACAGCACCGATAGCAAATACGATGCTCTTTGAGGTATGCTTTGCGTTCTTCTATTGGTTTGTCCCTGAACAACTTACATTTTTTGAGTGGGTGTGGTTTCTTATGGATTGGGCACTCACGGTCCGGCTCTTCCATTTTTTTTGTCTCTGGACTATTTTCAAAGGTGTTGGCTACAATGTCTGTTCTGTGAGCTGACACAGTGACTCTGCGGTTGTATGATGGAGATTTCTCTGTGTGTGGGCTTACGTGACTGCTGCTGGGGTTGGATATGATGAAGCTTGGGTCATTTTTCATTTTTGCTTGCTGCTGGATGAATTGTGTGAAAACAGAGAAGGGAGGAAATGACACACAATGCACGTCTTTGTATTGTGTTCCTACTATCGTCCATCTTTCCTGTAGATTAAAAGGAAGCTTTTCGACGATTTGTCTAACTCCCCGAGCTGTGTCCAGGTAGGCGAGCCCTGGTAGGGCACCGTCTTGTTTGGCACATTCTAGTTCCAATAGGATATCACTGAGCTCTCTCAATTTAACATTGTCTTTGTTTGTTAGCTTAGGGAACGCTTCTACCTTTCTTAGGAGTGCATCTTCAATAACCTCAGGTGAGCCATAACACTCTTCGAGACGTTGCCAAACCATCTCGGATCCTGCAGAAGGATCCAAAGTGTGTACTGCACGGATTCTTTTGGCCTGCTCTGATGACTTGGGACCTAGCCATTTTGTCAACAGGTCTAGTTCCTCTCTGGCTGATAAATTTAAGTCTTTGGTAGCACTAACGAAAGAGGCTTTCCATGCCCAATAATTTTCAGGTTTGTCGTCAAATTGCAGGAGGCCTGTGCTCACTATTTCTTTGCGGATTAGATATCTCGCAAAGTCTTGTGTTCCATCGGGCACAGGTGCATGCCCATGTGGGGGGTTGAGTGTCTGTGCTGGAAGGTTATGGTGGTAGGTACCGATGGGACGAGTGTTCATGACTGCTTCCTGTTTTATGCTTATGTGTGATGAGTTACCCAGAGTTGTGATTGCAGCTCTGTGTTGGTCAGGTTTGTTGTCTCTTCTTTCAGAAGACACCACTGCAGTATGATGAGAGAAAGTGTCTGGGCAGAGTAACGCACTTTGATATTGAACGTACTCACTGGTCCGTTGAGCTGTGTTTGAAGGCTCTGCTTCAACATGGAGTTCTTTCCTGAACTCCCCGCTTTGAAACTCTGCTTCTTCGTAAACTGAAGCTTCTGCTTCAGCTGCGGCTACCTCCCTCTGGTACCGCAGTATATGGATGCTGGCATCTAAATCAGCCTTTTTTGCTTCCAATTTTGCTTTCTGCCTCATCATGTCAGCTTCTTTTTCAACAAAGGCTAGTTGAGCTTTGGCAGCTTTTGCCTTGGCATAAGCTTTTGTGGCTGAAGAAGTCGTTGATGACGACCGTTGAGAGCTCCTCGATGCTCTAGATGTATGTGACCTGGTGTCAAACAGTTGTGACGGTTGCTGCATCGCGGCCCGTCGGTCTGCAACCTCCGCCTCCCCACCTGCTTCACCTCCCCGTTCAGCACTGTAATCGCGGAGATAGCTTTTCCCTGAGCGTAGACTCATGTCCGCTTCTTCTAGCCCGAACCCGCCGCGTCAATGTCCTTTCACTTCGCTTGAACCTGCCGTGCCAACGTCCCTTTACTAGCTAGAAACTGCCGTGCCAACGTCCCTTTACTAGCTCGAAACTGCCGTTTCAACGTCTCTCTGCTAGCTTGAACCCGCCGTGCCAACGTCTCTCCACCCAGCTTGAACCCGCCGTGTCAATGTCTTTTTACTGTGCTGTCCTCGATACACGCCTACTTTCGTGACACTAGACAGCCAGCGAACAAATAAAAGGGTTGATGCTCCACACAAGGCTTTCTTTTCTTTTCAAATGGAGTTTATCCTTATCATTCCTTATTATATTGTAACTGTAAACAGAATCATGCAAAAAACAAATTAGCATACATGACGTTGCTACGTGAAACATCAAAACAACTGCAATTAGCACACGGAAACACAACACGTAAAATGACAGCAATTACTATAACAGAAAAAGCTTACTTAATACAGCACTACTTACAAAGACATAGAATTCCACAAGCACAAGCACTAGGAGAAGAATAATGAGTCTAAGAAAAGTTTGGAAATACCGAGAAACTGTTAACTTCTCCCTTCAACAAAGACGTCCAAGATCTTCTAACTCTGGTGAGAGCTCTCACTCTATATTTTTTCACAATCCCAGAGATACACAGCGTGAAGACCTCTCACTCTGATGAGTTTTCTTTTTTTTTTTTACAATCCCAGAGATACACAGCGTGAAGACCTCTCACTCTGATGAGTTTCTCCAGACCAAGATTCTAACTATTGTATTTATGCTCTTAACTATGAACTGTTCTAACTTATTTAACTTATATCTTAACCAAAGGCATTATAGTGTAGTGAGTCCACAGCGGGATGGTGGCAGTGCAGCTGTGTCCTCCATTGTGGAGATGTCTTTTAAAATGAGCATCCAATGTGGGCTTGAGCCCACAACCTCAAGATCAAGAGTCTCATGTTCTACTGACTGAGCAAAACCTGGTGAAGAATAGTCTGTATAAGATGGGGAAGAAGAGGAAGAAGGGGGGAGAAAATGGGGAAGGAAAAAGAGAGAAATTGTCAGGTATGATGTGCGTTCTATAACAAGGGGTAACCATGAGTTGCTTGCAGTGAAATTGGCACTGGAGGAGTGGCACCATGTGCTGGAGGGAGCAGAGCACCCATTCATGGTATGGACTGACCACAAGAATCTGGCCTATCTACAATCAGCCCGCAGACTCAACCCACGACAAGCACGCTGGTCCATTTTCTTTGAACGATTCAACTTCACCCTCAGTTACTGACCTGGGTCCCGCAATAAGAAACCAGACGCGCTGTCCCATCATTCCAGTCCTCCAGACCCAGCTGAACATGATCCCACATAGCCCTGGGCTTTGTCACTGGGCTCCCACCATCAAGCGGTAACTGTGATCCTGTTTGTCATCAACCACTTCTCTAAAGCAGCACACTTTGTCGCCCTGCCACAACTCCCCTCAGCAACGAAAACGGCAGAGGTATTGGTCCAACACATCTTTCGATTACACGGCCTTCCCTCTGACAGGGGGTCTGACTGTGGACCCCACTTTGTCTCCCAGGTGTGGATCGCATTCTGAAAGGCCATTGGAGCTCGACCCCGTCTCTCGTCTGAATACCAAACCAATTGACAAGTGGAGAGGTTAAATCAGGAACTTGAAAACGCCCTATGCTGTGTTAACAGCCACGAAGCCTGCGCTTGGAGCTCTTGCTTACCCTGTATTGAGTATGCTGTATTGAGTATGCTGTCCTCGGCACACATACCCCTGAAAGCTATCTCCCACAGAATGGCACCATGGTACCTGGGTCCATTTCCTATCACTGAAGTGATACACCCTACTGCCGTCCGGCTCTGCCTTCCCCGGTTACTCAGAATACACCCGGTCTTTCATATCTCCCACCTGCAGCCCGTGCATTTCAGCCCACTATGTCCCCCGTCTGCACTCCCTCCTCTGTCCATCAAGGTCAACGGTGGTCCGGCTGATCCTGGACATGTGCCCCCGTGGCAGGGGGTTTCAGTACCTCGAGGACTGGGAGGGCTATGGTCCCGAGGAGCGGTCCTGGATACCTTGCTCTATCATCCTGGACCCGAAGATGGTTCGAGAATTTCACCGGGCCCATCCACTCAAGCCTGGTGGGCTGCCATGAGGCGCCTGTGGGGATGGGGGGGGGTCCTGTCAGGTATGCTCCATGCCACCTCTCTCTCCTCTCCCTGCTCTCTCTCTCTCCACTCTTCTCTTGACAGAACGAGGCAGCCCAGGCTTACAGCACAGCTGTTTTCTATCCGAGCTAATTAGCACCACACCATAAAACCGTCAAACGCCACCCCAGTGCCGGATTGTTCTATGTGGAATACGCAGCAGACAGAGGACAACACCAGCTTCTACAGTCGACTTTTCTCCTGGATCAAGTGAGACTTGATCTATTACTTGTGGCATATCTTCTCCTTGCACTCCTACCTGTGGTCTCATGACAAGGGATCCTGGCTTCAGAGATCATTGGTGCCCCCCTGCCATCTCTCCCTCTTCACCTCTCACCGGCGGTGATGTGGTGTTGTTGGTCCAGGAGACGTCCTCAAAGATGTGCACCCCCAGGAACTTGGTACTGCTCACTCTCTCCACTACAGCACCAATGATGGTCAGTGGGGGGTGCTTTAGAGGTTTCCTCCTGAAGTCCACAACGATCTCTGTAGTCTTCCCCACATTGAGGGAGAGGTTGTTGTTCTTACACCACTGTACCAGTTGGCACACCTCACTCCTGTAAAAGTAAGGACCCAGTTTATGAGTATAAAGGATACAATGTTTAGAGCAATGTTTACAAACATGTCCTAATTCAAAGCAGCAGTGTGAATCAAGATGCATCTCCTTTACAAATGCAGGAACCAATGCTTGGAAATGTTACTGTATGTGTAAAAAAATGTAGTGTTTGTTTGATACCTTATCGCACATCACATGTATGGTATAAGAACAGGTCCATTGGTGGAAACTATACACCAGGAGAGAACAAGAATTAACTTTCAATTAACTGTTAATTCAAATATGGACTAGAGAAGAAATTGAAATTTGAACAGCTGCAGTTCTATGGCAATTGAGCGATCACTGGATGAAACCCGTGGGGTCAGTTAAATAAAACGCAGGTACAAGTACTTTACATAAATACATGCAGTATTAGTTATAAAGATGGAGAGAAAATGAGAAATAATTGCTATGTCTTAGTATGTAAATGTGTCACACTGTAAACACAATCTTTATTTATTTGGCTTACATACAGTAAATGCTGTAGCAATAGTAATGTTGGTGATTTTACAAATTTGGTTCACATTTACGGTAGTCACTGTCTTTTCAGGACTTGACTTATTTCTTGCGGATGGACCTGTTGTCCAATCCTGTTGTTGAACAATCTGACAAGCCAGAGAGGATGCCTAAAAAATAAAATTAACATTCATAAGTCAATACACTGAGACACACCAACAAACAGAGAGAAGGGTAAAAAAGAGAAAAAGAAGAGTTTTGAGTAAAAATGCTAATTTACTTAAATGCTCAAAATGTTCTCTCTTTATCAAAAATGTAGTAGTTTGCAAAGTGAATAACAGCAGTAATGATGTTGGTGCTTGAGCAATTTCAGTTTACATTTACCATAGATATTGCTGTCCCAGGACTTGACAAACAACTGGAAGATGGACCAGCTGATGACTCAGCTGCAGAGTGAACCTGTGAACCCGTGCCAAATACAAAACTCTAGCATTACATTTTTGGCAAGAAACCTCAAGGGGCGTCAAACCGTGACGCCACCCGATAAGCAAGCTTTGCAGCTGCTCTATCGTTTAGCCAAAACATGAGGAAAAGTCAAGGTGCTTGACTGTTGTTTTCGTGGTGTGTATCTAAAACAATTGGACATAACCTTACACATTAAGACAAATATTAAGACTAGCATTACAGTTGACACTAACAGCAGTTTTCCTGTAACCTTGGCGTGCCTGCAATCCTTACTGCAGGCTGAATAGTTACAGCAAACTAGTCACCCTGTCTGCACTAAACATTTCTACACAACAGATCTCTAACCACATCTATCTAACTAAGAAATAACCTAACAACACCATTTCTTCTGCTTACGTACAATGCTGTCACCCCACTTGATGATGAAAAGAGACCAAGGCACACTGGACCTGATAGTTGATCAAATGCAATTTATCCAAAATGAAGGATAATCACCTTTATTGGCCAAGTAAGTTACACGCCAGGAATTTGTTTCTGGTACAGAACCAATGGCAGCCATCTGCGACGCCAACTCAACCAATGTCTCTAACCATTGGGGGCAATGGGGGCGGGGGGCTCAGTGTCTTGCCCAAGGACACTTTGACATGTAGACTGCTGGCACTGAGATTTAAACCTTCAACCTTCTGGTTGGGAGATGACTGCTCTACCCACTGCATCACTGTCGCCTCCCCAAAGTATACCTGTTCACCCTTCAAAATCCCTACCTTCATGATATAAAACCCTAAATATCTGGTACTTCTGGGGGTTGTCTCCTATTCTTCCCTGTTTTACTGTTTCCCTTTTTAAGAGTCTGTCTACTCTCTACTCAAACCTGAGTAGGATTGGACTGAAGTGCCACGTTTTCTGAGGTTAGCAACGTTGTATACACAAAAGTCTTTCCACACTTCGTACACCCAAATGCATGAAAGCACATACAGTATGTGGGTGCACAATGCATGACTTTGGGATTTATAGTATACTGTATATTCAAATAGGGCATTACATTGTGAGCATTAGGAAATGCCTATATAAAATGTTGCTGACAATGTCTTGTCAAAGGTTAAAAAGGGGTTTAGAAAGGGGAAACTAGTGCCTCCTTCCTTTTCTGTGGTTCCTACTGTTGAAGTATTAACATATCTATACTTGAGTTTTGCCTTATTGAATGAAGGATACCTGAAAATATAGAAGAAATATTTACACATTTTCTTATTTATCAGAATGGAAAACAATCTAAAAGTGCAGCTTGACCATTTACTGCAAGTGAAGTTACAGTGCCTTGGCACTGTGAAAGCCATAAGTGCAACTGCGAGTTTTCTTTGTTAGGATCATTCTCAATGCAGAGCGCATTTTTCTATCTGCAGGCATAATAATAAAAAAGTTGTTTTACAGAACTGAGACTGAACAATGTTATAAAAGCAATGTAATAGATTCAATGCCAGCCATATTCTGTGCTAAACTAGTCAAATTTACATTATTATAAACAGTTAGCTGTTCTGTATCATGCAGGTGTCTTTTAGTAGGTTTCAAGAGTTAACATCAAGTGTACTAAATGACATTACGACAGCAAACATACAGTACAATGGCGTTAACAAATGAGCAAAACGCGTCTGTTGTGTCTAATACATTGCATGTAGTTCTTGATTGTTGCCACAGGATGGCGTAATGCATTTATGTTGGTTAAGTTAGGTTCTTTGGGGGCGTAGAAGAAGGGGAGAAGAAAGAAAAAAGAAAAGAGAAGAAGGTGCCGTTGTATGGCGATGGAGCGAGAAGAGAAAATAAAGTGAATACGGATTAACGAGTCCTTGCTGCGGTTATTCTGACCCTAACAAATTGGCGACGAGGTAACCCACATGCCATACTTTTTTTTACACTGTACTTTTCTGCCTTCGACATGGCTGTGAATGCGCCATTCC